ATAAAATCTCTACTAAAAAGCTCTTAAAATCTTTTTAAAATCTTTAATATATTAAATTAAATTGTTACTAAGAAGAAATTGACTTTAAAATAGAAATTTTTTAAAAATATATAGCTACTTGCATGTTAAATTAGCGATATTGAAATATGTTGCTTACTAGATGTATAGTTTGATCAAAATGATCTTCTTCTGCGATTTAATATACAAAAATCGTATCAGGTTAGCCTCCAGCACTTTATTTCTGTCTCATAAAATCCGAATATATCACCACCAAGCGGTTCTTTTTTCTCTTCCCTTTTTAGGTTGCTCACCTCCTTTAAATCCTGGCGAAAAATCCGCGTGCATTACCTCACATAGCAGCATGCTGGCAATAAACATCCAGTCCAGACGAGGAAATGTGGTGCGAGGATGCACCATTTTCCAGGAGTTTCTAGAACAGAATGGTTAAGCTCGTGTGCAACTTCCGGCAACCATACGAAATTCACTCTTATTCGGCGGAACTCTATGGAAAATTCGATAGCTTCCCAAAGGGAGGCGTCGATCGTTGCTACCACGTACCTCGATAATCGGCAGAAAAAAAGGGACATTTGAAGCGAAAAGCTCTTCTTTTTATGATATTTTATTTCAGATATAAAACTATTTATTTGTCCTTTATTGTGCGCAAAGAGAAAGAGAGAGAGAGAGAGAGAGAGAGATGCTGCGATGTAATATCAGCCTACAAAATCTTTTGATTAAATTTTCTTTGCAAACAAAATTATTTTAAATCCTGGTAAAATTTTTCTAAATTTGTTGGATTATTTTATACGACAACCAATTAGATTTAAAAATAATTTTATAATGTCCTGAAATATCCTATATTAATATTGATATATTTAAACTGTGATATTTAAACTTTAATCATTCTCCTTCCCTATAATTTATATTCGTTTTTATCTTTCTCTTCAATATATCTCATCTATTTTTATCATGCAATATTTACATATGGTTTACGTGAAAGCGTACCAACGATCGTACCATCCAATTACACAAATTGCAGAGAAAAATTATGTTTATCGCAATTCCATGCCTCTTTAACGATGTACGCAAAATCAATACGATTGCTTTACGATATTTCCCTAAACGACGCAATCCAATTTTCTCGATATTAATTGCGACGTGAAGTACATCTTTTGGTATTCCGTACGTTCCTCATTAAGGTACTACAGAAAATTTCGTGATCTCATCGAAGGAAGAGACATCGCTCGTTAAGAAACATATAACGATAGTCGTGAGAAAGTGGCCTAGAGATAGGAACGAGTGCACGAACTCGAGCAAGATCGTATTTATGTATACAGGAACACGTACCTGCACGTGCTATGAAGCATCCAGTGCAAACACGCTGTATAGCATCACGGTAGAATGAAACAGATATGAATGAAACAAATACGTGTATATGGAACTGTGCAGTCAGAATTTCATTGGGTGAGATCGGAGGAGATTATTTAAATAACAGAAATTATTCCATCTTCATGGAAACATTAAAATCACACTACTGATGATTTCGCGATAATAATTTGCTCAGTAACGCGTCGATAAACGAATCAGACATTATTAAGCAAAATAAAATTCAGATTACAACTTCAACAATTTGTAACAATTGTAAAAATGTTCTAGCTCGATGTAACAACGAAATTGTGAAACATCAATCATCGATTGACTTCAATTTACACTAGGAAAAAATCTAAAATTTGGAAAATTCTATATTATTGAAAAATGCTGGAATGCATTGCTTATAAAGATTAAATGAATAAAATTCGATTTATTCATTATTATTTTTTAACATAATAATGATTTTCAACTCGTATAAAAAGGCAAATATATGCTACATATTTTTCAGTCGTTGCATGCAATACGTTATGCATGAAAACATTACATTACATCTTTTTTATGAAAAGGAAAGTATCACGATCGAACATTTCTTTACCAAAGCAGACAAGCTCTTACAATTAGAGGAAACTTTATCATGACTTTTTGCTCCGAGAACACCGATATTCGCTGCATATTTCTCTCTTCTCTTTCTCGGTTCTTGCTGCGCGTCTTTGTCAAAGAAAATTTCACGAGAGAAATCTGTCGAGTCGTCATTTGAATGCAATGCGCGTAAAAGAGAACATCCGGTTGCTAAGATATGCGACAATTTCTGTGGTATCCAAAAGCGACGTTATATTTATGGCCTCAACGTAAGAATTTTTTTTTCAAAGTCGAGTTTTGAGCCACAAAGTGGAGTTAATATACGTGCTTCCTTGCACGTGCGTCCTTGGCGAGTAGTCATATGATGCGTGGGCTTTTCTGCGGAGCCGCCAAATTTTCATTCATAGAAAAGCTTCGACATACGACGATTACGCGCTCTCAAATGGCACAGTGAAAAAGAAAAGTTAGACAAATATCTCAATTTTAATAATAAAACTTTTTTAATGAAATATAATATATTTACGAGTTTTCCATATTTTTTTATTATTTTTCTATTGTATAATGTAGTATAAAGTTTTACACTTTATTTTTCTTAAGAGTTGAATGATATCCATAAAATGTTACTACTTTCAATAACTATAATCAAATCATAAGTTATATTCATTCTATATTAATAACTTTTAGATGAATTTAGCATTTACAATTTTTTCTGAGAATTTTTGAATATATGTAATTTCAACAGAATTTGCTCATAAAAAAATTACTTGGCATGAATAATCAAATACTTGTACACATCAGTTCCTGGAAGCGATTTTCAAGAATTAAATTGTCTTCAAATGAAGCATTGATTGGAATCACTTCTGAAAATTCTCGATGATGGCATTCCTGAATCGTTAAATCGTTAAACTGCTAATTTTATTCAATGTAATTCGGTAATAAGCCTCGGTAATCGCATGCGCCACTCTTGGCGCAGTCTTGATATCTAGAATAGATGGACTATTTTTGAAAACGCATTGAGAACTATTTGTGTCCAAGGATAAATATATCGACAATCGTTATATTATTAAGAGTCAATGTTTCTTTCAATATCTGTGTTGTCTGCATAACGCGATTAAATCGTAATCAGACGAAATCCAAGTTGCAAAGGGATATTCGATTGTCATTATATTTTATTCGCGATTATTTTATTATAAAGACATATCGATAATTAAACATTTTAACAGAACTATTAAGTTCAATATAGAGTAAAAAGTTTTTTATCGTTGTAAAACGCAATTTCAATAACATGTAGACACGTGTAAGGGTGTGTTACGGGAATAATAGGATGATCCTGTGGTTGCCCAGGGTGACGTCTAAATGCGCATAGTCAAGTAGACTGGTGATCCATATACCGATGTGCACGCACGCATGCACGCACACACGACACATATATTCGATCGGACCTAGAAATACATGGATATGTGCGGAGACCCGAGATATCTAACCAGAGCCGGAAGATAGGGTGTATTCTAACGATCGGTCTTGTCTGAATAATTCTCGGATAAGTTTCGTACGTGTGGAGAAAGTGAAGTCGCGTTTGCATCTCTACTGCCTTATTACGGATCGAGACGCGAGGGTAGAAATTTACTGGAAATGTCGGCGACACGTTTCGCTCCTTCAACTTTTCGAGAATGTCTCCTTGTGGCGTACGTTTGCGATAACAGACCAATTATCTTTTGATTATTCTCTGTTTGCAATAAGTGAGAAGAGTGCATATAAAATAAGCAGAAATAATCGCAATTAAAAAATAATGGCAGCGGAATGATTAGTGCCCTGTTTAACGTGATGGAGATTTATTTTCGCTGTCTTCCTCTCGGTATCTCCTTCACGTCACTATAGTGTTTCAGAAACTATGTTTCAAGCGTTTCTCTTGACGCTGATATTATATTACACGGAAAAATGCTTTGTAAGCGTTACCACCGACCTGCTGTAGCTCTAACATGGTAACCAACGAGAAAACAACAGCTTCGTGTCGTAGCTTCTGACGAATAATTTGGCCATGAGCCAGTCTGATTTCTGGGGCTAACGACATTGGAATATTTGTCGAGTAATTCGTCTGACTATAAAAGACACTCACGTTGCGAAGTTTGCAGGAACAGAAACAAAAATATTCGATTTATTATTGTCCTGTACATATTTTCGGCGAAAAGCTAAAATTCGAAATAAGAATCTCGTGTTATAATTGAAACATTATTTATGTTAATCTCATTATTCGTAATAATATAAATTACACAGTGAGATGAGAGTATAATATTCGAACATATTGTCCGATCCCACATAGATTGGATTATTACATCAGATTGTATGCATAATTATTGATTCAGTATAAAATAGCCGAATCTATACATTAATCGCAATTATTGGTTGACTGAAATAAATATACATTAACAATTATATTGTTATTTTAAATTAGTCAGTGAAATTAATCTGCTTATTTTTCTTACGCATATATATATATATTTAAATACAATTAATATTTCAAGAAATTATATTATTCCTGATATTCAATGATTTTATATTAATTCATTAAAAAAACAAATTTTTCTTCTTTTTTCATATTCCAATAAGTTATCATTTTATAATAGTATTATATTTTACATACACAATATTATTATATATTTTATATTGTTTAATATTATATTTTATAATATTATTAATTGATTATACACAAGTAGAAGATAATTTACTTTATTATTTTTGGGTATAATACAAAAAGATAACAATTCTTTTATGCTATCTCAGTAAAAAATGCAAATAAGATTTAAATTATACGAATCATTAGATTAATAAATATTTGTGTGGAAAGGATCTCCAGATAATGCCATGACGACGAGCGTGTAAAGTTTGCATTCTCCAACCTATTCGGCATCTCCAGTGCGCTTTATCTTTAGTTTCACGAGCATGGCTATCAAATTCTCCTCATCCTCCTTCCGTTCCTCATTTACTTAACATATATGTGTAACATATAAGTGTATTCGCTAACGACTCACCGTGTTTGGCTTCTCTTGTTTCAGCTGACAAAGGTATGTTGCTGAAGCTTGATTTTCGGGACGAGTTCAAGTTAGAAGACAGTATGAATTGCCGTTTCGATTTCCTCGAGGTACGTGATGGTCAGTACGGTTACTCTAATCTCCTCGGCAACTTCTGCGGGACAAATTTTCCCCCCGAGATCACGTCGAAGACGCGATATCTCTGGCTGCGATTCCACAGCGATGACAACATCGAGGGAAAGGGTTTCAAAGCTGTGTGGAACATGATACCGAGACCAACCCATCGTAAGTCTCAGAATTAACAAAATTTTTATATTTCGCAAAAATTCCTTTTTCTTTACATTTTTGATTATTTTTCATTGAAATTTAATTTCAAACGTAAACTAATAATTTCTAAATTTTTATAACAAGTAAGCAGTAATAACATGTTGGATTATTTGAGAGAATATTTTAATAAATATCTTGAATTGTTTTTTATAAAATTAACAATTTCTATGTTATATAATAGCTGCGTTATGTAATCTATTTTTTATTTATTCCGTACATTTAATAATTAACAAATATTTTTGAAAAAAAATTGTTTTAGAAAATTTTCCTAAGTACTGAGTCTACTAAAACCTTTTTCATTATGTATTCAATCATTTCTGCTTCTTTCTTCTTTCCAAATGCTAAAAATTTATTCAGTCATGGGTTTCCATTCCATTAAAATCGCATTTACTGTCGATTATCCACATCTTTTAGATACTTAGAGATTCATATATCTTTTGAATGCGGATTATTAAATTATGAAAAAATTCGTCGCTAAGATAATTAGTCCAATGTAACAGCAAATTAATTTGTTTTGTGCTCATCTAATAATTCGTAATCACGTTAATTGACGTCAAATGAAAATTGATCTGTGCAGAACATGTTATTTGTGCAAAGTATAATAAAAAACCTTGAATTAAAAGAGCGAAATATTGATTTTCCCATAAAAAAAAAGAAGACAAAAGATAATATGCATATTTATAATAATATAGAGAAAGAACACGTAAAAAAAGCCGAAATGTTTCAATTTAATGTTAACATATATATCATTATAATTATCTGATTGAAATTAAACTAAATTAAATTTAATGATGTGATTTCTCGCAATCGTATTGTAACGAGACAGAGACTTAAGAAAATTAAAGAGAGAACAATGAGTGTGATGACAATTGATTCGGGGATGAGTATGCAAACATTCGGGGATCTTTGTCGCGTGTTCTTGTTCAGAAAATTACGAGACACTTCGGAAATAGATAGCTCGCGACAGTAAGAGCTGTGCAACCGCGACCAAGACCAAAATTAATTCATAGTCAAGCAGGAGAATGAAGAGGAAGGACTATGAATACACGGAATACAAACGCGAGGGGTCTGGTTTTAACCGGGCGTCGTCTTTAGATCGATATACAGTTTAGATAGTAGAGGGGTGCGGCTAGCGTCCAAATACTGAAATTTTTATCTCGTACTTGATTAATTTATTCGTTACCAAATTTCAATATTGATGCTCAACATCGAAATATTTTTAATTGCTATTTTTTTAACATTATCATTATTATTGTATTTTTGTCAATAGATATTTGCACAATATTTTTAATTAAGAAAAATTAATAACATCGAAAATCAATACTACGCTTTATTTATCATGTTTTATATATTTTTAAATATTAACAACATTAATTGAAAAAAATCACATGATATGATTGCACATCTGAGCTAAATAAATTGGTTTGAAATTGGTAAAAATAAAAAATAAAAAAATATTGTATTAACAGTATGTTATATGATTTCACGACAATGAAATTATTTTTTAATATATGTTTGTTTTTAAATGTTTAATGTCCTACTAATTTTTATTTTAAACTATTTGCCCAAACTATTCTATTTCTATTTATTTAATTATTTTTAATTAATGTTTTTTTCATAAAATGTTTGTTGTACATTTACTCGTAAATATTACTCGTTTTATAGTAATATTGATATTGCGAACAAATTTGGACCAAAAAATGATTCTGTTCTCGCTAAAATCGCTAAATTTTTAACTTTTGATAGATATAATGTCAGTTATTTAATATCAATCATTTTTTTAGTATAAGTTGCTGTGATTTTTTAGTATAAGTTGCTGTGATTTTTTTGTAAAGAATCATTGATTATGTATAATCGCGATACTAATCGAGAAACTAAGACTACCGTGTCATACTTGTCGAGCATGCGCGCAATAAATAACTAATAAATATTTGGGGATCGGTATATAGCAGCGTATAAAGCGTATAGCATGCGCATAGAGTGTAGTATAGCTTCCATTCATTATTTATAGAGGAAACCATTTTAAATGCTTTAACTCAGCAAAAATTTACATGAAAATGGGAAATAAAAATCAATTTTCTACGCTTATATATTTTATCATGTGCGCGATTATAATTTCCATAATGCGTGCAGTAAAAAGTATTATAAAATAATATATTAGTTAAAGAGATAATACATTTTAAAAAATATTTTTTTTCATTACATATTATCATTTGTAAAACTCAATAAATTTTGCTATAGTATATTCAACTAATATATATATTGAGCAATCTTTATTATGTTGGATCTCTCTCTAATGGTATAATAATAATATAATGACATAAAAATATATAAATATGTTGACATGTGAGCCTAGGGAAAGTGTAGAACTGTAATAGGTGTGATTCACAGCGGGCGTGCCTCCAGAACCAGAACCGTGCATAGTTAACGTGACGGGTGCGGAAGCGATAATTCATAGCGATGATGTCAAAGACAGGAAGATCCTGGCCGAGAAGGAAGGTTTGGCGTTGGATTGCATGTGGGATATTCGAGTGAAAGAAGGATGGAAGGTAAGAGATGTTTTGTGTGTTTCTTTAACATATTTTTATTAATTTATAAATTGGACAAAGTATGTCATTGCTCATTTTCCAAAGTTTAATATCGACGAGTTTTTTAAAGTATATAAAACATTTCTCTCAATATTTCTCGACCACCGTGTAATGTTGCAATCTTTATTTGATTCGAGTACACTTTGCTGCGATATTCAATCGACGTGAATGTTTGTTACTGGCCTGCAGCAACGTGATTTCAAATAGCGTTTCGCTCAAAGTAACGCGTTTCTGAATGATTTACAATCGGTCTCTGTTGCCATAGCGCGGATATATAACGGTTCTACGCGTGAAATACTTTATCTACGCTATATCCGTTACAAAATTTACATCGCGACAGATAACGGCATCTGCTCCAACGTAGAAGAATCCTTTAGTTTGTGAAACTTCGTTATTAAAATTATTAATGAAGCCCTATTTCTCTCGAGCATCTTCTAAAACTATGTATAAAGTTTTTTTCCGGCATGATAAAACCCATGGCAAAGAAACTATATTCTCGCGCGTACTTTTTACAAGCTACGACATTGTCGAAAAGTTTCACAAACTCGGAACAAAATCGAGCCCGCTTACTCATACCTAAGAATTCTTCGTGAGTACTTCACATTTTCGCGGTTTTCAGTTTCGCCTTCGAAACCATTTTGGCTTTGAAAACAATTCGCAGCTGTTTTGTTTTATGATACATAATTCCTGCTGTAAAAATACTATTGCGAAATTTTGCAATAGTAACAAATAAAGAATTCTACAATGGTATAGAGTGAATACGTTATTTAACTGCGTCATGGAATTCTTTTATTGATCAATCTATTTCTCGATCTGGTCGTCAAAGGCCGGTGAAAATCAATAATATGTGCGTGTCGTACATACATATATATTTGTATGCGTTATATGGATACATTTAAAAAAGTAGGAACATGCTGAATTTTCAGATCCAGCTGACGTTTGATAAACCAGAGAATTTTAAACTACAGCGACCGAACGAGTGTGATGCCAATTTTGTCGACATATTTAAGGAAAATACGGATATGTTCTCCAGGGAGAAGAATTTCTGTGGCAGCATGGCCGATACTGTCATCATTCAGGCCAATATCGCCCACTTAAGGTTCTATGCGGAGCCGAAAGCTTTAAACAGTTCCTTCGAAGCGGTGATGACCGCTGTTAAAGACAAGGAGAGTAATGACAAACGTGAGTTTTTTTAAACATATAACAATAAATACATATATTTCCGACTAAATTCATTTCCGGAATAACGAACTTTAAAAGCATATGAACTTATAAAATTTCTATTTTTATGTTAAATTTAAATTTTCAAGTTAATATCATAAAATGTATATTAAATTAAAATATTCAAAATTTACTATTAAATATTAAAGCATATAAAGGCATATAAAATGCATATAAAATTATGACACAAGCAGCACAATTATGAATTTATATTTGTAAATTTAACATTTATTTTGCGTTTTTATAGTTAGTAATATTTTTTATCAGTAATATACTTTTTTATAAATATATAATAATTTTTTAAATAATTTCAATTATTTTACGTTTTGCATATACATATTATTCAATCTAATATAATAAAATTTTAACATTTGTGTGTGTATGTGATAATACATAAAATACATAAAATTTAATATTTAAATCTATATATAATATCAAAATAAATAACGTATCAATGTCTTAGAATTAAAGTTAAACAATTTAATAAAATATGAGTTTATATGTTTAATAATTATTGTTATTAAAAGTTAATATTATCTAAATAAAATATCTTATAGAAAGTTTATATACTTTAACGATTATGTAAGATTGAAGTTAACTAATTTTCAACAATAAATATTAGATACATTTACAAAAAACGTAATATATGTGTTAATTAAACGTATACTTAAAATTTTCTAATTTAAAAGAAAAATAATCTGAAAACAGAGAGAGAGAGAGAAAGAATGTATGAGAGAGATAGCGAGATATTAAAGTCGGGAATTTTGAAGCACTCTTCGTGTATGATCAATATTTTTAACAACGCCAGGTATAACGTCAGTTTGCTTTTGGCAGTTTAAACTGCACAGCACAACTATCATTGTGTGACTGCGATAACAACGTGGAAATTGCCTATATGGCACACCAGAAGTATCTGGTACAATTCCACAAAATTTTTCTCTCATGTATGTGTCACACTTATTGTGTAGATTTTTTTATTTTACGATCTCGCGGATTACAGAGCCGGCGATACAGTTGTTGTCAGTTGCCTTTGTTTTGAGTTAGCAAATCATATTAATTTTTGTAAATTGCAAAATTTTATTTAACAATATTTTTTAACAGGACTCCATTTTTATATTCTCAATAATATAATAATTGACGATAAAAAAATCTAGTTTAAAGCAATGCAGATAAAATTCTAAAATACAGTATAATTAGATACGAATTAAGATCGACTTTTATATATTTTAATAAGATTTTTTAACACTTTATCTCTCTTACGCTTTTAAAGTGCTTTGTGCGATGATCGATGATTACCTGAAAGAATAAGCGGAATTAGATTATTACAAGACAAAAGCTCATATTTTCGCGTTTTCAACCTATTATACATATATGTTTTTCATTAAATAATCTTACGCTTAATAAAGTCTTGAGAATAATCGTTGGATAAAGGAATCAAATTTCAAATTAATGGTTGTTCACTCGTCTGAATGTTAAATGAGGCGACCCGCAGAATCGCAGTTACGTGTGCGGAATTCACACGGGTTCTAGTACGGCACGAGAAGAATTTCCGGCTTTCCGCACCTGCCGCCAACGCGGAACTAATATCTTGCCAGCGACTATACTGTAGGCGTTCAGCAATTCGCTTATCTACACTACCGTCGAAGGATAAGACCTTAAGTTACAATTTTCTCATGCGAATTAAGAGTCGACTTATCGCAGTTATTTCACTGAAACACATTAGAAGCAGTTGAATTCGCTATAAATTTGCTGGAAAATTTATTGCACGTCATTTTAAATGCTTAAATTAATGCGGAAATTAAATGCGGAAATTCGACATGTATTAGTACTGCAGAGAGAGAGCAAAAATGAATTTTAAATATAATTAAAAGCTAATATTGAACGTTCGTGCAATCGCGTAAGATCAATTGGTTGCATAATCTGTGGATAATAAAAATGTAAGGAATTCTCGAGACTCGTATTCTATACAATAGAGCTGCTATTTCTTTTTATTTATTCAGTAGAAGCATTTTGATATTCGCAACATAGCGTTTTTTTCTCCATTTTTCAGCCTGCTCTGCCGATGAGTACGATTGCGAGGATGCGACTTGCATCGCCGCGGAACTGGAGTGTAACGGAAGGGTGAACTGCCGCTTCCGGTGGGACGAAGATGAGACAAAATGTCACGTGAGTTTTAGCTTTGTCAAGATCTGATTCAATATCGTTCGCTCTACAACATTTGACAAAACGCTATCCAATTCCCGGATTCGAACTATTTCCGGCGCGTCCACTAGTTGAATCCTTCCGCACCATACTATTCGCCTCTCCTTTTATCATCCTCCTCCTAGATTTTCTCTACCATCTGTTTTACAGATATTCTCTTTCTCATAAACTGCAAACTGCAAAAGTTAAATCGCAAGATAGTGCAAGCTTACAAAATGAGATGAGATGAATTTAGACAAAGTTATAAAGATAACTTACGACATTTCTGACATCTCTCTCCCTCTCAAATTAAGAGTTAAGAAGCACTGGGAATGATATTAACATAAGCTACAAGGGATAAATTTTAGGTAAAAGTTTGCTAAGTATTAAAATTATTACCGTAAGAAATATAAATGAGAGAGTTTAAATAGTCATATTTAACTAGTCACACAAGCCGAGATATTTGCACTTCAAATAACGCGTTTCCAAATAACGCACTCATCTTACATAATATCTGGTAACATTTCTCCTTAGTTAATAATGCCATTCACGTATGTCTGCATTTTGTACTAGAATACCATGAGAATGTCTAATATTGTAAATAGTATAGTAAGAACGATACATCGCCTTAACTGCCCTCTGAGCTTTCACTTTACTTGCTCTTGATCTTCCAGGTTAATTAATTTATTCGAGGGAAGTTTTATGGCTCTCTTTAGTTTAACTGGCTCGGCGAACATAGCTACTCAGAACTTATAATCTTGCAGTGGCAATTTGTTTCTTCTAATTGTGAAAGAACGAAATCAGTTTCATAAATCGATCATGTCTTTTCGTGTAATTCTATTCTTCTTTCTTCCTAAGCGACATTATAATATTGTTGATTGTTACTTTTAATTTTATTTCAATTTTTGGTACTATTAATTACTTTCTCACTGTCTCTCTCTCTTTCTCTTTCTGTGTGCTTTGTTTGTAAAAATTGTCTTTTTTAATTTGGAAGAAATAGTACTTAAGAGTTAATGTAACTTCTTTACTTAAATTATCGTTTTAATTTACATTTGATGTGACTTGGGAAGAGACTTTTATGCAAAGAATCATATTTTCGAAATGATTTATGAAGAAATACTGTAGAGAAGGCAAGATTACTTTTAAACTGCAAATGGTAGGCTTTTTAGAACACGGTGAACAGTTCATGATCTTACGATAAATGTTAAGAGTGCTACGTCTCAAGAACTTTGTAGTCTTTTAGCTGGGATTATCCAGGGCTTTTGGAAAGCTCATTTCACATCGCCCACCTTGGGATTCAGGATATGAAATCCTGTGGCAAAGCGCGTTGACGAGAAGTAACTATTTTCGACGACCTTTAATACTATACCTTTTACCATTCTGATTCAAGTAAAGAGTTGAAAAGACGTTTGACGTTCGCGACATGACACCATTTGATCCAATAACTTTAAAGTAATCTTTTACTTGACATTACATTAATATAATTTAAATCAATGAATGCAAATCTAATTATGTATTTTGGTTTAATTTCAAATGAACTTTTCTTAAGTGGCTTTAAGATAAAATTGATGAGAATTATTTCAGCAAACAAATCTGTGATTTTATTATTTAACATTTATTTTTTAACTATATTACTTTTATAAATCACAGCATCGGAGATGTGTAATATCAAGTTTATATTGTATACTATTTATACATATTACCTTTGACGTAGAAAATAAAGAATTATATGAAATATTTATACATAATTTCGCGCGTAGAATCTGATATTAAACAGTCCCGTGGCACAGGACGACCGTCTGCTGAGATTTACCATCGTCTCTTATTTGCTAGTGCCAAACCACGAATCCCGGGATATGCCCGACCCCACGAGGGTCGCCTCCACGACTTAATCGTCCTTCAACCACGTAAAACGTCCCGTGTGTCCCTATTCCTTCCGCTGACGTCTCTGCCTGTAGCACCGGGCTAATTAATTTATTCCGGTAAAGTTTTGCAACGGGCACGACTCGCTCAAGCCGGATTCTGCGATTTCGGCTGCGCTTGCATTCGGACGTGCGTTCCGACGGTTATACGGGTGGGTGTTTCCGATTCCGGGATGTACAATACTACGCGCTTTTGGCAGACTACCAGAACAAGGTACTGGCGAAACGACGGCACGATGCCACCGACGGGATATTAATCTAACAACGAATAATGCTCTTGGTATTTCGATTCCGCCAATGTTTCACCGTATTTTATTTCAATCGTTTTGGACGAAATCAAGTCGTGTGTAGGATGTGGCAATGACATATAAAAAAATAGTAAATGATGAGAAAAAAAGAAAGAGAGTTCGGAAATAATAATTTTGATAAATCTTTCATAAAAATATGATTATTACATTTATTAATATTATTACATTGTTACTATGTTGAGTGCTAAAAGCAGCATGTTATAATTATATAAATTTATTATTTAGAATATTAACTTATTATATTAATTTATTATATTATTCAATCATTCGCGACATACTTATATAAATATCACAGAAATATATATAAAATCTTACTCAAATTTTTACGCGTGTTGTTTAATCAATACGAGATAATTGGAAAATCAATCATTGTCCATTATAATAAATAAATATTATATATAACATATATTATCTTCCGAAAACCGTAAAAATGCAAAATTCGCGTATATAAATAACAAGAAAATATTTGATACTCTCTGAAGAAAATGTATTATCAATACAAGGCAGTAATTGCCTATTGAAAACTCGATAATTTAAAGATTTGTTTTCGTTGTATATATATATATATATATATATATATATATATATATATATATACACACACACACAGGGTATCCTAAAAGTCCCGGACCGGGTTGTTTTTAAGAAAAAAATATGTAATTTGCAATTAACAATTACATTTTCTTTTTTTTAAAACAATTATGTGTTTTCTTTACACCAATTGATTCCTCTCATTATTTTGTATATAAAAGTATTAAGGTGAGATAATCAAAAAATGAATATTTTACTAGATATTTTATGGTTTATGCAAAATTAAGAAATGATTTCAAGCCTCATAACTCGAAAAATACTCAATGAAGAAATACTTTATTATAGTGTTTTGGAAAGCTCTCGAGATAAGCTACACGAATATGTAATAAAAAATAGAGGGTTTCATTTAAGAAATTGACGGTAATCTTCACGTGGCTTTCAAATGACTCTCCCATGTCAAATCATTGCTACTATCTGATGGCCTCCTTCAAGCCATACAACTTTTGTCTGAAACATTTCTTTCTAAAGTGCATAGTTTATGAAATATTCGACCGGTCCAGGACTTTTGGAACACTCTGTATATGTATATATATGTATGTATATTTGATTTCAATATATTCAAAATAAATGAAAACGTTATTATTTACATTTTATTTTAATTTTTACTAGCAATGAAACACGAAAATAAAGATTTAAATTATAACATTGAAAAAAATAAATTAATCACTAAACCACACCAATCTCTCAGAGCAATAAAAGAGGTTTTTGATATTTACAATGAAAACAATTATTCACTTTTTGAAACTGATGAATGTTTAAATGTTGAAGTATACACTCAAAAAAATGTTTGCTGATGCAGATAGATTTCTATATGTCACAAAAAAATATACTGCTATTTTTTTAAATCTGATGTAATATTATTTGTAATATATAAAATTTAAATAAAATATTAATAAATTCTAGTAATCTTTCTAACAAATTTAAGTTCTATTGCTAAATATTAACTGTATCACTGTATTAGATAAATATGAGATTCAGTATTTTTTTAGCTACAATTTTTCAAAAGAATCGTTCTTTTTATGTATCACAGTTAAACTTTATAACAAGTACAATTAGTCTTAATATGAATAAGCATCAAGATAGGCATTTTTCTTTCTAAACTTCATTAACAGTTCAGATATAAATTTTGTATTTGTTATTTAAGTTAATTAAATATAAAACATATGCGATACCACAATATTTATTAAATTAGTTATTAATTTATATCTGCTTTAAAGGAAGAGAGAGAGAGAGAAACAGACAGAGAGAGAGAGAGAGTTAATTTTTCGTCTCCAAAAAATTGTTGCTATAGTTGTGATTATTTTTTGAATGTATAATGTACAATAACAATGTCAATCATAAAAAATTAAATTATATTTAATATATTTCCGAATTGATGGAAGTTTCCAGCAGTTTAATCTTGAATGCGCGATTGTCGATATATCGAATTTAAAATTATAAATTATTTTAATTCGGAAACTATGATAATTAAACGGCCAACGATTGCTAAACGATATCTTTTATTGTGGCCACAAACAATACACATTCGTAAGCAATTTCACCATTCTGTTAGGCGGAAATAAACGTTCTCGCTCTCTTGTCCGTCGCAATATAGTGTCAAATTTATCGAGCAAACGATAGAGAAGCGGCTGTTTACTCCGACGACATGTTCGTTCAATGTGTCACTCCATCGAATAAATCGATGACAAACAACATACCATATCGAATTAATTCGGCAATAATTAATTATTGTGAAACATCGTTACATACGCGATATATATTTCTTGATCTTTTATTATTAAATTTATCGAACTATCTAGAATAATGTTGTTTGTAAAATGCTTTTAGCAAAGATCTCTTTTAATTTTTACTATGCATTATATAAATTAATATGAAAAAGAAATAAATGCACTTGTAAATAAATTTTAGTTAAATTTTTAATTAAATGGACAAAGAATTTTATTGCAATTTATGTGCTTGTTAATGTTTTATGCATAGCGTAATAATTAAATACATTTTTCTGCATCGAAATAGTATAAATTAATTTTTGAAACTTGATTTTTGTTCAAATTTCTCTCTTATTTTCATAAGTGTTAATATAAAATAATAATTATTATTTTAATATTTAATTTTTTCATTAAGCATAGTAACGTGAAACGTTTGCCTAAAAAGATTCGAAATCGAT